GGCTGGTTTCTGCCTAGAAGTGTTTGCAGACATATGTGGCCTCTCCGCAGCAGCGGAGGCAGGCGCGCCGAGGCGGGGCGGCAGAGGCAGCCCGCTGAACGGGATGTAACTCGGGGGTAAGTTGGTTCCGGGGGGCGGGGGCCGCCCGCCCCGGGCGCTGCTCCGCCGCCGAGGCTGCCCTGGACGCTAATTAGCATGACTAGTTTGATGGATTTCGTCAAAAGCATTCAGCAAACAGGGTAGGGGGGAAGCGAGGGTATAAGATTTCCCAAATCTCGAGACTTTTCAGCCCCGGTGCCCTTAATGGTTTGTTACGCGGGCTCGAACAAGTGTTGCTTCCAATTAATTGATCGAGGGGATTTATTTTAGTATTTTGGCTGGGTGCCAGAGACAGAGGCTTTGTCCTAGCGTTTTAAGCACCACCCCTCCTTGCAAGTTTGAAATGTGAGCTGCCTGGGTGGTTTTTTTTTTTTTTTCCCTCCTCTCTTTCTCTCTCTTCCTTCTGGCAAAGTGACTGTGGCTGCGTGTGTGTGTGTGTGTGTGTGTGTGTGTGCACCAGAATGAGAGAAGGACGTACCTCTCTGTGTAATGGGAAAGCAAGACATGGATCAGTAGAGACAGAAAAGAGAACCATCAATATCAGTAACATGCAGCTGAGGTGAGATTTTTCTGAGTGTTTGATTTTCTTAAAAGCCTTTCGGAAGATTTACAGCAGCCTTCTGCCATGCTGCGTGCCGAAGACGCGCTCCTAAGCAATGTCATAGGGATGCTTACATGTCTATCGCCGTTTCAGGTCTGTTCGCGTACGTGTGAAGTTTTAAAGCTTAACCTGATTCTCTTTATTGTCTCTAGAGGGTTGTAGCTTGAGCACAAATAGCCTGTTGGCAAGTACGGCATGAGCCCATTAGCAAGACTCCATCTGTGATTGGTTTTGCCTGGAAACCGGGAGACAAGCGATGAATAATTGATGTGTGTTGTGCAGTAGCTGGACAGGCAAAGAGGAGAGAGAGAGAGAGGGAGAAACAGAGCAGGGTGCCCTCAGAGGGGGAGAGCGAACAAGCTTGAAAATAGCTACTGGCTGCCTTGTGCTGAGATGAAGGCAACCCCGGCTGTCTTTGTTCTGCACTGGCTGGTTTCTGCCTAGAAGTGTTTGCAGACATATGTGGCCTCTCCGCAGCAGCGGAGGCAGGCGCGCCGAGGCGGGGCGGCAGAGGCAGCCCGCTGAGCGGGATGTAACTCGGGGGTAAGTTGGTTCCGGGGGGCGGGGGCCGTGCGTG